GGGACTTGAACCATGGTCGGCCATGTGGGAGTCCAGTTCCCATAACCACCCCGCCACTTGCTGGCCTGAGAGATGGACTCTTAACTCAGCCTTCAGGAATCAGAAAGATTGGTGCGACAGGAAAAAGTGTTTTCCAAGAGATAGGAATGATCTGGCAGGGGTGTGGAGTGGCTGGGGTCCCTGGGAATTTATAGGTCGAGGGCTGGTGGGCGGCTGGAGCTGAGGCAGGAGGGGAATCGAGGGAGCAGTGCTGCGTGGTAGGCAGTGCAGGCCAGCTCCCAGCAGCCTTGGTTACCAGGAGTCCGGACAGTACTCACTGGGCAATGGGGCTGCGTATGGGTGCTCGGGGAATACAACGATGCTGCCTGTCTGTCTGAGAAGCCCCAGGCCACTGCCACGGTAGCCAGGGAACCAGCCCGCAGCAAGCCTTGGGGATCAGAAATGCGCTCCGTGGAGCAAGGAGGGGTGTCCCTTCGGCAATTTTTTTTTTTTTTGAGAGGTTTTTGCTATAGGGCATGTGCACTCCCCAGAAAGACAGAGAGAGACAGAGAGACGGAAAGCGAGAAATCACCCCCCAGGGGGATGGCCATGCTGCAATCCCTTCTCCTCCATTCTCCTCTCGGGATCTTGGGCACGCACGCACATGCGCCTGGCGTGAGTTTAAGCCACCGGGTCCGGGTCTCGAACCATGGTCAACTACGTGAGAGTCCAGTGACGTAGCCATTTCGCCATCTGCTGGTCCCAGCAAGTATTTTTGTGAAAGAGGTAGCATGAGACGATCATCTCTTGGGACATGGTTCAGGAGGCTCTGGGTGGGAATGCTCTTCTGATCATGGCGCACTCCTACGTTAACGGTTATGGTCCAAATCCAGACCATGCAAAGCAGAGCCATCTTCGGCACCGGGGAGGGGGCGGGGAGTTCACCTGGCTGCAAGGTCCTCGTGCTCTTTCTCAGTGGAACTTCCCCTTGCTGATGCTGCTGTGGAAGCTCGCGCCGGCCCTGTGCTGCGGGAACACCGTGGTCCTGAAGCCCGCGGAGCAGACGCCCCTCACCGCGCTCTATCTTGGCTCTCTGATTAAAGAGGTAAGATGTCCACAAAGAGAACCCCATGTGGGCCAGCCCTGTGCCTGGTGGGGAAGGAAGCTGGATCCCACATGGCCGACTGTGGCTGGGGTCCTGGCCCGGGCAACGTCAAAACACTCCCCAGGGGTGAGGGAGGAGGAGTGAACAGATGGCGTAAGGGTTTGGGCACTGGACTCCCACCTGGCCAACCACAATGTGAGTCCCGAACTCTTCTGCTTGGAGCTCACCCCAGGCGCGTGTGCGTGCATGCCCAAGATCCCGAGAGGAGAATGGAGGAGAAGGGATTGCGGCGTGGCCATTCTTGCTGGGGAAGGGCGTGATTTTTCACTTTTCTCTTTTTCTCTCTCTTTCTCTCTGTCTCCAGCAACGGCATGTGTTTGATAGCAAATTTTAAAAAATTGTTTTAAAGAGGTTTTTGCTATAGGGCGCGTGCTCTCGCCAGACAGACAGAGAGAGACAGAGAGACAGAAAGTGAGAAATCACCCTCCAGAGGGGATGGCACATTGCTGAACTCCAACATGGCTGACCAAGGTTTTAGTCTCAGGCCTGGTGGCTTAAAACTTACATCAGTTGTGTGTACATGCATGCCCAAGATACTGGAAAGTGAATGAAGGAAAAGAGATTACAGCATGACCATCCCACAAGAGATAATTTCTCACTTTTCCTCTCACCGTTTCTGTCTCTCTCTCTCTCGTGCTCTCTCTCTCTGGTGCATGCACATGCCCTAAGGCAATAACCGCTTAAAAATATATATATATTAAGTCCCTCTATGAAAAAGTATGTAACTAATTTGACTTTCAAATTAAGTACAGCATTAGATGACTAATGTTCATTCTTCAAAATTAGGTTGCATATACATTTTAAACACAGTTCCTACCCAGTAAACTTTCAGCTTCAATAAGTTAACATAAAAAACTATTGGACAGATTTTACAATTGTGAAGATATGCTAGCAAAGGCAACTTTTATTTCCAAGTTTTAAAAACAGAATGGTAACATGCACAGCAAAAAGAAATAAGACTATTAGAGGGACCAGCAGTTAGCGCAATGGCTATGTCGCTGGATTCCCATGTGGACGACCGCGGTTTGAGGCCCAGACCCGGCGGCTTAAACTCACCCCTGGCGCGTGTGCGTGCATGCCCAAGATCCTGAGAGGAGAATGGAGGAGAAGGGATTGCGGTGTGGCCATCCCCTCTGGAGGGTGATTTCTCATTTTCTGTCTTTCTATCTCTCTCTCTCTGTCTGTCTGGCGAGCGCACGCGCCCTATAGCAAAAACCTCTCAAAAAAAAAAAAATTAAGGGGGGCTGGAGACCCCGGGAGGAGAATGGAGAAGAGATTGCCGTGTAACCACGTCCCACTGGGGCTGTGTTCTCCCTCTCCCTATCTCTCTGTCTCTTTCTTGAGAGCACACACATTCTTTGGCAAGTTAAAAAAAAAGTGTCTAGAAGAAACTTCTGCAACTTGGCTCAGAATGCTCATTTTCTTTCTTTCTTTCTTTCTTTCTTTCTTTTTTTTTTTTTTGGAGAGGTTTTTGCATAGGGCACGTGTGCTCTCCAGAAAGAAAGAGAGAGACAGAAAGCGAGAAATCACCACCCGGGGGGATGGCCACACTGTAATCCCTTTTCCTCCATTCTCCTCTCGGGATCTTAGGCACGCATGTACATGTGCCCAACGTGAGTTTAAGCCACCGGGTCTGGGACTTGAACCACGGTCGACTACAGGGGATTCCAGTGACATAGCCATTACGCTAACTGCCGGTCCCATCCCTTTTCATCTCTCTTGTTCTCTCTCATTCTGTCCCTCTCTGGTCAAATTTTAATAATTAATTAATTAATTAATTAATTAAATAATTTTTTTAAAAAAATTAAAATTGGGGACAAGCAGATGGCATAATGGTTACATCACTGGACTCCCACGTAGCTGACCACGGTTCGAGTGTCGGACCCAGTGGCTTAAAACTCACGTTGGGCATATTTGCGTGCATGTCCAAAATCTCAAGAGGGAATGGAGGAGAAGGGATGGCGGTGTGGCCATCCCCCCTGGGAGGTGATTTCTCATTTTCTGTCTCTCTGTCTCTCTCTGTCTCTCCAGAGAGTGTACATGCCCTTTAACAAAAATCTCTCTAGAAAAAATAAAAGCTAAAATTGAAGCTCAGGAAAGAGGATTTTTAGGTACCCCTAGGCCCAGGGAGTATTACCAAGGTGCCCACTTCCCTTCAAAGCACAGTCACACACACACACACACACACACACACACATGCATCTATACCCACACATGTGCACACTCACATTCATACACACACATGCACACATGCATCTGTACACACGTGCACACTCACATTCATACACATGCACTTCTCACACACATGCACACATAATTTAGACACATACATTAACATGTATACATACACACATGCTTACACACATTCACACACACTCAGACACATGCATCTGTACACACGTGCACACTCACATTCATACACACGCACTTCTCACACACATGCACACATAATTTAGACACACACACATTCACACATATACATACACACATGCTTACACATATTCATACACACTCACACACACGTGTACAGGCAATTAGACACACACTCTCACACATATACACCAACACACAGTCTCTCACACATGGACATATGACATGCACTCACATACACACGTACACACACAGATACACACAAATGCATGCACATATATGTACATATAGGCACATACATACATCCACGGACGCACATGTATACACTCACATGTGTACATGTACATACACGTATACATGCACACATAGGCATACATGCACACCCCAAACGCACATGTATGCACTCGTGTGTCCACATGTATATATACACAGGCATGCACACACACATATACACACTCACACCCATGCATATGTGTTCATACTCTCTTCCATGCACTCTCTCACACACACACCCAGGATAGTGCTCTCTTCGGGGGCACCTCGCCTGAGGCATCATTAATCGCTGTTCTTGGTCCCGGTGGGGTAGGCAGCCCTGCCTGGGAGGAGGGCAGGTCTCTTAGCCTGGTTTGGGGGTCGGACGTGAGGAAGCCAGGCCACTTCCTGGGCCCCCGTAACTAACCGCCCGGAGTCCTGGGGGCGGGTGTGCCCCAACCCCAGCTTCCCCAGGGGGTGCTGCTCTGCTCGGACACATCAGGCAGCCGGGCCCTCGGCCCCAACGCAGGTCTGCACCCACGAAGGCTCGTCTCGTCTGAAGGCCGGCTCCGTCTCTCCCCAGGTCGGCTTCCCTCCTGGCGTGGTGAACATCGTGCCGGGATTCGGGCCCACGGCGGGAGCGGCAATTTCTTCTCACCCCCAGATCAACAAGATCGCCTTCACCGGGTCCACAGAGGTAACCATCTTCGCGGGCCGCTGGCCAGGGTGACAGGCTCTTCATTTGGGAGGCTCGGCCGCGGTTTGTTTTCCTTCGGCACTTGATTGCAATCTAGTACATAACAATTAGGAAAAAAAAAAAAAAGTCTTAGGTCTATCTAGCTTCTAAACTAAAAAAATTAAATTAAATTAAATTTAAAAAAAGAAAGAAAAATCCAATAGAACTCAGAAATCCTGGAGCCAGCAGGTGGTGTAGTCACTGGATTCCCACATAGCCAAGCACAGTTCCAGTCCCAGACCTGGTGGCTTGAAACGCACGCTGGGCACGTGGGTTTGCATGCCCAAGATCCCAGAGGGAGAAAGGATGATGGCATGGCCATCCCCCCATGGGGTCATTTCTCACTTCCCCTCTCACTGTCTCTCTCTCCAATGAGCGCATGCACCCTAAAGCAAAAATCTCTTAAAATATATATATATAAAATTGAGAAGTCTTAGAAGAAAATATTGAGAGATGATAAATAAAAATGCAAAACATCTCTCTAGCAAACAACATTATAATCAAGTTTAAGCGATACCTAACAAGCTGGGAGAAAATGAATTATATTCACGTAGCTCTCCAATTAGACTTATGTAGCTCTCCACTTCATAGCCTTCATATATAAAGCGCTCCTACAAATCAATGAAAAAAAAGTGACCAACGGAATGTTAGGAAATTGGGAATTCACAGACGAGAAATACCGAATACTGAATACGCTTAACCCAGTTTGCTGGTCATTGGCAAAATGCAAATTCCAGTGAAAACCAGACTTTCTTTTTGAGTGCCAGATTGGTAAAAACTGAAATGTTATTATGAATATAGGGATACAGAAATCCACCACCATGATCCCTAAGGTGAAGGGTGATTTGGTAAGACGGATAACAGATTAAAAAAAAAATCAGGGACCAGCAGTTAGCGTAATGGTTATGTCACTGGACTTCCATGTAGTCGACCGCGGTTCAAGTCCCGGACCCGGTGGCTTAAACTCACACCAGGCGCATGTGCGTGCGTGCCCAAGACCCCAAGAGGAGAATGGAGGAGAAGGGATTGTGGTGTGGCCATCCCCCCTGGGGGGTGATTTCTCCCTTTCTGTCTCTCTGTCTCTCTCTGTCTTTCTGGCGAGTGTGTGCGCCCTATAGCAAAAAAAAAAAATAAATATAAAAGCAAATAGCTTTTGATTCAGAAATTCTGTCTGAAACTACTTAGAGAAATACTCAAGAGCATTCGAATTCTGGAGGCCAGCAAGTGGCATGATGGTTAAGGCACTGGACTCCCACATGACTGATCACAGTTCGAGTCCTGGACCTGGCAGCTTGCTTGCTCCCTCCCCGCCTCCACTCTCGCTCTCTCACTCTGTCCAGTCAAAACTAAAATAGAGAAATAAGTAAATAAGTAAAGTTACAAAATCAAGAAAGAACATTCGAATTCCAGGACAGATGTTCAGATATGGTATGTCCGTTCTATGAAATGTTTACAGCCATTGCGACAGGGAAATGTCCCCAGTCTATGGCTGATAGATAGGAAATGAACTATGGGAAACTCGTTAGTAAGAGTGTGTGTAGGTAGGGGAGAAATATCAACGATCCGAAGGGATTCCCAAGAAATTATTACCACGGCTACCTCTGGGACACGGGTGAGAGGAGATAAAGGTTTTCCTCCTTTTAATTTACACACATCTACTTGCGACAGGGAAATGTCCCCAGTCTATGGCTGATAGATAGGAAATGAACTATGGGAAACTCGTTAGTAAGAGTGTGTGTAGGTAGGGGAGAAATATCAACGATCCGAAGGGATTCCCAAGAAATTATTACCACGGCTACCTCTGGGACACGGGTGAGAGGAGATAAAGGTTTTCCTCCTTTTAATTTACACACATCTGCATGGCAACATCACAATGCTTTCTCCTCTATTCTCTTCTTGGGATTTTGGGCATGGACTCACACACCCAGTGTGGTTTTCAGGCCACTGAGTTTCTCTTCTTGGGATTTTGGGCATGGACTCACCCACCCCGCGTGTTTTTCAGGCCACAGGGGCCGGGACTCAAACTCATGGAGTTGACCATGTGGAATCCTGTACCGTAACCACAATGCCACTAGCTAGACCATGTAGAATTATTATGTGTGTGTGTGTTTTTTTTAATGTTTTGCTTTGTTTGAATTTGCTATAGGGTGCGTGCACTCTCCAGAAAGACAGAGAGAGACAGAGAGACAGAAAGCAAGAAATCACCCCCAGGGGGGCAGGCCAAACCACAATCCCCGCTCCTCCATTCTCCTCTCGGATTTGGGGCACATGTCCACACGCACCTGGTATGTTCATTTTACTTTGTTTTTAGAGAGAGATTTTGGCTATAGGGCATGCGTGCTCACCAGAGAGACAGAGACAGAGAGACATAAAACAAGAAATCACTCTCTGAAGGGATGACCATGCCTCAATCCCTTCTCCTCCACTCTCCTCCTGGGATTTTAGGCACGCACGCACACGCGCCTGGTCTGAGTGTTAAGCTGCCGGGTCTGGGACTCGAACCACCATCAATCATGTAGGAGTTCAGCACCTTAACAACTACGCCACCCACTGGTTCCACCTGGTGTGTTTTTCAAGCTGCCGGGTCCAGGACTCGAGCTGCATAGTTGACCATATGGGAACCAGCTGCTCGAACCTCCACACCACTGGCTGGCTCTAGCCACCCTCAGGATTTACTCCACTCTGGCTCTTCCCCCGAAGGTCGGAAAGCTGGTTAAAGAAGCCGCCTCCCGAAGCAACCTGAAGAGGGTGACGCTGGAGCTGGGAGGGAAGAACCCCTGCATCGTTTGTGCAGACGCCGACTGTGAGTTCCCTTCCTTCCAGGCTTTGCTGGGGCTCTAGACCACCCGTAAAGCTCTCCCCACTCCCTTGCCGGGTCCAGAACCAACTGAGAGAGAGCATGCGCGTGTGTGCGCACACACACGGAATGGGGTGTTTTCCACTGGGTCCTCCGGAGTGCAGCTGACCCGTCCTATGCAGGCAGGGGGGGTCAAAGCACCCACTTCACGTGCACAGAAAGGAGCCTTGGAAAAATACGGGCTTAGGTGGTAGCCAGAGGGACTGCTGCTTCTCCCTGCAAGATTTTTTTTTTTTTTGTATTTTTTTTAGAGGTTTTTTCCTTAAAGCACGTGCATTCACTGGAGAGAGAGAGACAAACACAGAGAGTGGGAAAGTGAGAAATCACCCCCCAGGGGCATGGCCATGCCGCAATCCCTTCTCCTCCATTCTCCTCCTGGGATCTTGGGCACGCACACACCCGCACCCTGCATGAGTTTCAAGCCGCTGGGTTCTGGACTCGAACTGTGGTTGACCATGTGGGAGTCCAGCAATGTAAGTGCCAAGCAAGTGACATGGTGGTTGGGAACCAGGACTCCCACGTGGCCCCAACCACTGTTCAAAACCTGGACCTGGTGGCTTGAAACTCACGCCGGGCACGTGTGCATGCATGCCCAAGATTCTAGGAGGACAATGGAGAAGGGATTGGGGCATGGCCATCCCCCATGGTGGGTGATGTCTCGCTTTCCCACTCATTATCTCTGTCTCTCTCTCTCCGGTGAGCATATGTACCCAAAAGCAAAAACCTCTAAGTAAATAAATAAATAAATACCCCTGTGGCCAACCGCACGTCCTAGTCTTTGAGGAAGCCAGATTCCACATGGCTGACTGTGGTTTGAATTCTGGCCCTGGGCAACTTGACAAACACGTATGCATGTGTGATCAAAGCCCCGGCAGGGCGGGAGGGTAGAAGACAAGGGATTGCATGTGACCATGCCCCAAAGGGAGCGCTCTCTCCCATCCCCTCTCTCTGTCTCTGTCTCTCTCTCTCTGCCCAACACGTACACATTGTAGCAATTTAAAGAAAAAAATACCTTCATGATCTGGGTCTGATCTCTGCTTGCCCCACTCTTCCCTGGAAAAGCAACTTGCTCCAGCTGTATAACACGGTATTAAAATATATCCTGCTGTGTTGGGAGCAGCAGATGGCATAATGGTTATATCACTGAACTCCCATGTAGTCAACTGCAGTTCGAGTCCCAGACCCGGCAGCTTAAAACACACCGGGCCCGTGTGTGCATGCCCAAAATCCCAAGAGGAAAATGGAGGAGAAGGGATTGCAATGTGGCTTCCCCCCCTGGGGGTGATTTCTCACTTTCTGTCTCTCTCTCTGTCTCTCTGGGTGAGTGGACATGCCCAATAGCAAACATCTCTGTTTAAAAATATTTATGCATATTGTTGGCCAGCCTGTCCAGACACAGCTCTAGACATTCATCCACTGGCAACAGGGGAAGTTATCAAAAAACGTGACCCACCACCCCATACCTTGAAGCACCTCGACCTCACAGAATGGCCTCCCACCTGCCCACGAGCGCCAGAAATGCCTTTCATGGAGAACAGAGCCTTCCTTCCGGATTCTCTTTTCTCAAGCCATCGGGTCCAAGACTCAAACCACGTAGCTGGCCACGTGGAATCCGGCACTCTCAGATCAGCAATTATAGGGAGCAGCAAGTAGCATCGTGGTTAAGGCTCCCACATGGTGGGCCAGGTTTCCAGTCCCAGCCCCAGTGGCTTCAAACTGATGCCGGG